GTCATCTAAAGAGTGCAAGTATCCGCCATCCTGCTATCAGATATGTTGATAGGGTCATGACCAGCACACTCTTCTACAGAAAAGAGCAGAATATGGTCAAGGAAGAAGAGATGGGAATGCTTGTGAATGGTTTGAAGAACATTATGATGGAGACAAGGCATGGCAAGATTCATGGGGAATGCCTAGGAGTTGGTCTTGTAACAATCCTTATGAAGCAGTTCCTGTCTTGCCAACAATGGGCTTTCAACAGAAGAGAGAAGAAGCCTAAGATAGCCATTGGAGGCTTGATCATTCCCATCTTACTTAGTGCTGGAGTTGAGCTTGGAACACCAAATGTGAGCATGATCTTCAATTATGTTCCCTACCTCAGCAAGATTGGATACCTCTCAGGAGCTGTAGATACTTGTTTTGGTTATCAGTTTGATCTGGAACATAGGAAGAGGAAGATCATTTTGCCAAAGCCGCGCCTCACCAGCTTAGCCTCTTATGAGAATATTCGCTTCATGCCAACTGAAGATGAGCTTTATGATCCTAGGACTGATCCCCCATTGATGAGGCCAAGCAAAGTCAAGAACATGAGCACAATCAGGGATTCAGATGTGGAAGAAGATATTGAGGAGCAGCATCAAGAACAAGAGGTTCAGCATCAAGGGAGAGAGGCGAATGAACATGAAGACTATGTTAGCCGCCCTTATGCATTTGATCCTCATGATGTGATCTGCACATCTGAAGCTTCGAAGGCTGCTCATGAGCATATTATGCGTCTTCAGAGGTGGAATCATTTCCAAGATAAGGCAATTAGAGGCTTGCTAAAGACAGTTAAGGCTAGCAAAAAGTCTGTTGATTCTTTGAAGAAGAAAGTGAGGAAATGATTCCAACAGACAGTTAAGGCTAACTGGTCGATCTCTTGGTCGATCTCGTGGTCGATCCACTAGTCGAATTTTAATAATTCGAAGCTCTTTCCTTTAATTAATCTGTTTGTTTCTCGTGGTAGTTTCTTACTTTCTAGTATTTTTAAAATAGGTTTCACTCTGTTTAGGTTGCTGCATCTAGTTCTTAGATATTTTCTCATAAACTGTCTCATTTTGCTTAGATTTGCTTTAGTCCTTGCATTCTCTGTGCATTCTCTATCTCCTAGAAGTGGATTGACTCTCTCTTGCTTGATATACTACGACGTTGCTTGCATTAGAGTTTGATAACCTCTCTGCATCATAAACCCGAGCTAAGATAGCGTATATCAAATGGCGCCGTTGCCATTCTAGGATTGTTTAGAGAACATAGAGATTTGGGTCTTAGCAAAGACTAAGTCTTTACCTTTTTCAAGTTACTAATACTTCTACTCCCAAACGTGTATTTTCAGGTACATGAATCTTCGTTCAAGGGGAGACAACAATCTTCTACAACCCTTAGACAACATTCATCAACTTGGTCACTCACGGCAAAGGAGAGTCAGAGAGCAAACAAGAGCCTTTGAGGAGATTGTTCAGCACGGTTTGGTTGACTTTGAAGCTATGGCTGAACACGAGCATCCAGAAGGACCTCCTCCAGCAGGACGGGGCAATGGAAACCCCCAACACGCGGCTAGACCCCCAAGGATCATAGGAGCCGGAGATGCTCCCAATACCCACCACAATAGGTTTGGAATAACTCCTCCTCCCGTACAAAACAATAACTTCGAGATCAAGCCAGGTTTCATCTCCATGGTGCAAAACAACAAGTTCCACGGCTTAGCAATGGAAGACCCCTTGGAGCACTTAGACAACTTCGAGCAAGTATGTGGGATGATCAAGATCAATGGCATATCCGAAGATGCTTTCAAGCTGCGCCTCTTCCCCTTTTCACTCGGAGACAAAGCTAGACATTGGGAGAAGACCCTCCCACAAGGCACCATCACATCATGGGCTGAATGTTAAAAAGGTTGTTTGATTTGATGAGCATGTGTAGGTTGATAGCATTATGATCATTCTTGCTTTATGATGAAAGTGGCTAAGTGTTTAGATTATTCTTCCATCAAGTGCATTATAGAATTAAGAACATGGGCTTCATTTTGATTCATTGTTAGCATTTTTAGAGATATGAGTACCCATTTTAAAACTTCATCACCATATTACGTGTTTGTTTGCTCTAGGGCAAGCAAAAGCTAAGTGTACGGGGTCTTGATATCTTGCTATATTAGAGTATTTTAGGATGCATTTCATGCATCTTTTCTCTTGGTTTTGCATATTAGTTTGGTATTTTAGTCTCATTTGCACTTAGAATCAACATTGCATTCATATAGGTTTTGATTGCATACATATGCATACTTGTGGTGTTTTTCAGGTGTTTTTGGAGGTTCTTGGAGTTTGGAGAGGAGATGGAAGCAGCTCATGTTCGAGATGATGCCAAAGAAGGATGCAAAGCTTGGTCCCATATCGAGGAGAAGCATCGAGCAAAACCACTGTGGAGTCTGCCTGATGCAAGCTGTGGTCTCGTTCGTGGATTCTAAGGCATTGGTCTGCGCCGAGGTGCTGCATCGAGCATGGAACGCTGCACAGGTCGATACGCGCTACACGGACCATAACGGGGTGGTGCGTCGAGCTAAACACCATCCGTACAACCCCGATATGCTTTATCCGCATGTTTGACCTGTTTTTCATTGACCTTATCTTGTTTTTTGAGTTTTGTATCCTTCTTTTGGTTACCAACCATAAAAGGGAAACCACAAAACAATATTCTTATGTCATTATCTATTCTAAGCTAACCTTATCTTGTTCTTCACCTAAATGGGCGAATTGCCTTAAGTTTGTAAACTCTTATTTTCTTTAATGAAGTTTGCATTTTTATGGTTTAATCTTGCCTTATGATCTTTGATTTTCGCACCTGGTAGATTAGTTTCATTATTTTTGCATCTATTCTCATCTAATCATATTTAACTCTAATCAAATGGGATTAAACATGATTAGTGAATAGTTCACCTTAGATTTGAGGTTCTAAGTAAGGAAAGTAGAATTTAAGATGTGATTAGGGGGTGATTAGGCTTGATTAGTTTATTCTCTATTGTTTCCTTCTCTTGCAAACTGATTATTGATCATAAAGCTTCTCTCTTTTGATTGAATATGGTATTGTTGATGCATATGTTTCACTTGATGGCTTGAAGTCTTGTTCTTAGCATGATTCGCTTATTTGGTTTGATAGTCTAGTTTGGTCTATGTTTCCTTTGTTCAGTGACACCAAAGTGATAGTTCACATTGCTAGATGATTCGCTTAGGACTAGATAGTGCTTGTTATGTGACTCTTGCTTGATGGTTAGATAATTTGCATTGAAAGAACATGCTTTTGTTTGAATCCTGTTCATTGCTTAGCATCGTTAGGTTTCGCAATTGTGAGCTTAAATCTATGTTCTTGATTGGTTGAGTTAGCTGCTTAGGTCCCTATATTGTTCAAAAGATTGAAAGGTTGATCTGAATTCTTTCTTGGGTGAGAGAAGTTTACTTGATTAGTACTTATTTTAGGTTTTATGGTTCTGCTCTTTATGCTCATGAATAGAGAATACACCATCAAAAGTGGGTTTGACACTCTAGTTTTGTTGAATTGGATTTGCTTATTAACCACTAGGAAGATCTTTCTTTAGATACATTTTCTAGGATTACAATATTTAGAATTGTTTACTTGATTTATGCTTGATGATTGCCTTTATTAGAAATCCCCTTAATCACTCTTGAAAACTACTTGCCCATTATTGCTTGGGACCTTAGATCTTCCATTTTATTAATTGTCTTAAAACATAATTTGCTTTAGTTATCTTGCTTGCTTATTCCATTCCAGCTTTCATCTTGTTTAGTTTCTTGCTTAGTATTGCTTAAGTTGTCATCTTTTGCTTTAGTTTATTGCTTAAGTCTCATTTTTCTTAGTCTTTGTTTAATATCATCTTTGTTCCGTTTTTCTTGCATCACTAGCTTGTTACTCTTGCATCTTGCACCAGTTAGAACTCCTTTGACTTAGCTTACGACATTGTTTGCATCTCAATTCATCCACAATTGTTCAATACCTCATCCCTATATTACATTCGATTATAGACTAAGGATATTTGGTCGAGACTTGCAAAAACCTTGTTTCAAGCACCATGTCGGGCAAGGCATGCCCGATATACACCAGCAGGAAGGGTCCTCATCCCAACATCGAGCAGCACATCGAGCATGCTGCCCGACATTCGAACCAGAGGAAACTTCACATCTAGCACGATGTCGACCTGCATGCCCGATATGAGTCCCTCGAGAAGATCACTTAATTATAACTTTGCCACTCTTCTAGGATCCCTACAAATACTAAAGATCCCTAAATTTTAGGGATCATCCATTTATCCATCAGTTTCTTTCTTTTTATGTTCATAATCAAAATTGTAGTTTGAATATTGGTTATTTCAATATAAATTTGTATTTCCCTTCATCTTTTGCTTTTCTAATCATGATTAACCATTCTTTCTTCATAGATTTGATGGTATTCACCAAGATTAGTGAGTAGTTTTTCTGAGGATTTGAGATGGGTTAGTTTAGGGAAATCTATGCTTGATAAGTGATTAACTACAAAAAAATGAATATTATTACAATTATTTTTGTCACAATATATAAATATTTTGAAAATTTATATTATGACAATAATGTTACAAATGATAGAAGATCACAATAAAAACGTCACAGATTTATTTTTGTCTCAACAACGTCACAAAAATTTATGACAATTAACAATAGTAACAATTCATCACTATTTGTGACAATATTAAAATAATTACAAATCACTTTACAATCTGTGACAAAAAATATTATTACAATTTTCATAAATTGTGACAAAAAATGTTATATATTACAAAGTATTACTATATTTAAATTGCTATTTCATTATAAATTGCTAGTAAAATAATGTTACTAATTTGTTATTTTTAGTTATTAAATTATAGTGTCAGAAATGATATATGACAAATAATAGCATATTTAATTACCATTCTATTATTTATTTAGTTGATTTGTAATTAAAAAAATTCTTTAGGATAATTTTTTATAATATATAAAATAAAAGTAAAATAATACATTATTAAATTAAAGAACATAAAAATAAAAAATAAAATATTTTCTCATTGTGTTTAATCCATGATGCTTCTTCCATATCTACCACTATCGTTGTGCCGTAAACACCACTACAGCCGCCGCTGCGGTAATGACCACCACCACTGTCGCCATGGCGACGACCACCACCACCACCACTGATGTCTCTTGACTGAGCCTCGTTAACGGTAATACTACAGCCTTCAAGCTCTTTATAATTCTCGATCAAGCCCTAAAATCAGAAGCAAAATCAAATAAGACTTAACTGTAAATACTATTAGCCTTAAATTGAATCAAAATCATGCACAAAATTAATTTGCTCAATCTGAACCTTAGGGCCGCCACACTCACCATTCATGCACAAACTTAAGTTGCTCACTCTAAACTTTACGGCCGCCCACACTCACCAATTATTCGTCATCATCGTTGTCAAATTGCCGTCATGCAACCTTCATTGGTATTTGTGTCTTTATCTATCTCCCAGAGATTGAAAACCACCATAGCGAACAAAGATTTATTCATAGAAGAAGTTACGCAGAAGAGAGTGAAGAGAAGAAGAAGTTACGCGGAAGATCGAAACAGAAGAAAAGAAGAAGGAAAAAAAAAAAGGGAAAATGTTTGTGTTCGTTAGATTTTATTTTATCAATGGTAGATATTAAAAGAAGTGTGATCCCTATCTTTTTAGATTAATAATAAAAAATTAGTTTTTTTATTTTCTTATTTCTTTACGGTCTAGGCTTTCCAGTTTTTTTTTTTGTTTGTCATCAGTTTGAATTCATAATTTTGGATCTAAGATTTAAATTTTTGGATTTGAAGTTAGGGAACTAGAATATAGAAAATAGTTATATTTTCTTCTAAAGCTTTTATAAGTGTTGTATTTTGGTTATGGTTATATATATATATATATATATAATTAGTGTACATTATATTTAGGATTTAGAGAATTTTATTTAATTGAGTGTAAAATTTGATTGAGAGTTAAAGTTCATTATTTAAATTATGGGACTTAAGTTTTAGGATTTGGGATAGCTAGAGAGTTTATAATTTAAAAAACATTATAATTATATTTTGTAAAAATCTTTTATAGGTGTTGAAGTTTGTTTATATGCATAATAATTATATATTATTTTTAAAGTTAGTATGTGATATAATATAGTAAAAAATTGAAATTTTTTACAAGTGATGAATTTGTTTTGTATTTTTTTTTCTTTTCGTTTTAGAGTTTGATTTAACATTTTGAATATGATTAAATGTAAAAATTTATGTTTTAGAGCTTAGAGTTTAAATTTTTCATAAAGAATAACGGATGAATTGGTTACACATCTATGATTCTCTCTTAAAAAATACCACTGAAGCAGCCATTTTCAAACAAGTGAGGAAAATGATGGTTTTATTGTTCAAACTAATTCATTGCACATAAAAACAGAAGTAGAAACAGAAATTATATCTGAGGTTAAAGATATAAATTCTGATATCAAATTAATTAGTGATGAATCTGAATATCATTTTTTACATTTTATTATATTATTTATACTATTTTTAAGTTATTACTAGGGATGTTTCTGCGCTACGCGCGGATTTTTTTAATAAATATTTGATTATTATTTAAAGCAAATTATTTAATCATTAAACTAATATTTTAAATATAATATTTAATTTGCAATATTTTTAACGTGGTTATAGATCTAAAATTTTTAATCTATTTAAAAAATATATTATGATTTAATTTAAACATTTACTAACTTGGTATAAGTGAAAATTAACTGTTAATCTAAAATTTAATATTTCGATATAAACTCATACAATAGCTTTCAAATTGTTATAAAAATTAATTTTGTTTTAACTAAATTTGATATATAATTGAATTCAGCAACAATAAGTTTTCTCTTTATTTAATTTTAAATAAAAAAAATAACTTATCAAACATATGACTACAACTGAAGCACCTGATTATTGTTTCAATTAATTTGGATTTCTTTTTATTTCAATTATATACGTGTAATTATTTTTTTTCATTAGCAGTCTCAAATACAAAACAACAGTCAATATTTAAAAATCTTACAAATCCTTAAAAGAACTATTGTTCATATAAATGAAAAACCATTTACATAGTATACAAAATTACAATCATATTGATAAACTACAATTTTAATTTGATCTCTGAAGCATCTATAAACTATTGAATTTGAACATTTACATTTATCATATACAAATAGAGTATCCTTAATATACAATATTAATCATATATTAAACATATAAAATGTTTTTTGTCCACATATGTATAATACAGTTATGTTAAATTTTTTAAAAAATATTTATTTGTTATATATATACTATGTTTGTTTGTAAAAAACGAATGTTTTAGATTTTTCTTAATTTTGAATATTTTTAATTTTGTTTTAAAAATTATTATTTTATAACTTTGTTTCTATTGAATGTTATTTAAGTCTTTTACAGCAATTTGTTTTCTAAAATATTTTATGTGTATTTCAAAAAAACTAAAATGATAATTTTTATTATTGTGTGGGCGGACTTCATATCTCATAATATTATATGTTATCGATTTTTAGTTTAAACTTTTGATTATTATTAATTTAGATTGTAAGAAGTTTATTATTAAACATATAACTAAATTTTCTTTTTGTTAAAGTTAGGTTATATGTCATATATTTTTTGTTACTACAATATATACAATTTAATCAATATTCAAGTATTACTATTACTGTTGAATTAATACTATTTAATTTTAAGCATATTATAAATATATTAAAGAATTATTTTTATTAGAAGTCTGCTTATGTGGCAAGATTATAGAGAGGTTTTTTTTGCTGACGTGGATGGCTTAAGGAGCCCTAAATAGTTCCTTTCATTTAGTATAGATGTACTATCACAAAATGGTAATAATTACGTCACAGCATTCGCCGTGGTACCCTCCTACCAATTTTTTTTAAAAGAAGCTGTTTTAGAAAGGACAAAGAAACTTCAAGGCATGATGGTGTTTACGGCCGAGTGTAGCGCCATCATACAACAGAAGGTTGTTCCCAACAAGTTAGAAGATCCAGGAAGCTCTATCCTCCCATGCTCAATCGGTCCACTTAAGTTCAATAATTGTATTTGCGACTTGGGAGCAAGCGTGAGTCTCATGCCTTTCTCAATAGTAACAAGGCTGGGTCTCACTAGTTATAAACCAAGATGGTTCTCTTTAATACTAGCCGACCATTCTGTAAGGATATCAAAAGGTTTACTTGAAGACGTTCCAATCCGAATAGGAGACATAGATGTTCCTACGGACTTCGTGGTCTTGGAGATGGATGAGGAGCCTAGAGACCCCTTGATCCTTGGAAAATAATTCCTAGCCACGGCCGGGATGTTTGGGGAATGGTTTGGGATTTATTTTGGGTTAGTTTTTAAGAGAAGCAAAGAATAAAAGAAGTCAAGGCAAAAAGAAAAGGAGTGTGACATAAGCAATAGTGGAAATGGCGGTTCTAAATTCAAAAGAAAGGAAGGCTCATGTTCAAAGAAGAAACGAAGATGCAAGGAGTGCAAAGCAAGTAAATCAAAAAGCCAAAGGCAAAAAGCAGCATCACCAAATAAAGGAGCCAAACTCAAAGAAGCAAACCGCATCCACATGAAGATCAAAAGAAGAAGTGTCCTCCAAGGAGCTTAAAAGAGAAGAGGTTTTGGGTTTCTAAAAGGGTTTAAAGTTTTTAAAAGGGTAGCATAGGCGGGCTTACATTGATTAGCTAGAGTTAAGGACATTTCTTATAGGTCTTGGGTAGATGGAAATCTTCCTTTGTATGTCCATGTTGTTATTTGACCCTTGACATTTTTCCAAAGCACAGCCATCTTTTTCCTAGATAGAACCCTTTTAAACACCAAAACCAGTTTGAAAAGTGGAATCATTTTTATTTCACTAAGCCTTGTCCCTTAACCAAATGACACATTTGCATTTACATAAGCATGATTCACGGTTTGAGCTTAATTGAATGTTAAAAAGGTTGTTTGATTTGATGAGTGAAGAAAGACTTTTAGGGTCTCAATTCGATCCCTTTCTAATCAGATGTAGTATAAATGAGGTTTAATCAATCCATCTAGGAGCTAGAATAAAAGAGATGCAATGCATTAACTAAGCTTAACCATGTACGATGAAAGAAGGATGATTCTAACAACCTAAGTGGACAAAGATGAAATGCAGAAGTGAAAAAGCAATACTAACAAGACTAAAGCAAGCAATGCAATCCAAAGAAAACTAAATGCAATAGAAACTACCAAGACAATGATCTAAATGCAACAGGACTAAGGTAAACAAAGCAATGAAGTGCAAGAACCAAAATGAAAGCTAAATGCAATAACTTGAAATGCAAGGTAAGGGACAAAGCAAGAACAATGCAAATCAAAACAGAGGAAAAACAGAACACAAAATGATGAAAAGCAAAGAACAATGAGACGCTGGTTCAAGGCTAGGGCAATGATGACTTGGGGATTACTTAATATCAAACCTAGGGTGGTCAAGACTGATAACAAGCTAAGAACATGATCAAGACACTAAATCAATCAATCCATATCAAGAGCAGAAATAACAAAGTTAAGCACATGTCAGACCCACTTGTGATATGATATTACCATATATTTTGCATATTTTGCATGCATTTAGGATAGTTTTTCATGCATTCATCTTGCATTATAGGCTAGTTTGTTCCATTTGTTGCATTTTAGGTCCTAGGTCCCTTTGCATTCGCATTTTGCATATTTCTTGCACTTTTGCATCATTATCAGGTTGTTTGGAGCACTTTGGAGTTGTGGAGGTTATGCGGACGTGAGGAGGATCAGCTAGAAGCTTATGGACACTTGGAGAGCTCAACCTTGCATGCGAAGGACCCGAGATCGAGTAGCGGATCGAGCAAGGTAGGTCGATCTAGATGTGATCGACCAGAAGATCGAGTGACCCAAGTCAATTCAAGAGGAAAGATCGAGACCAAGATCGAGAGAGGAGATCGATCTGGAGTATGGACGTAAATGACACCATGCCGAACGAGAGCCATATCGAGACCACGACTCGATCACCCAAAGATCGAGTAGAAGATCGGACGAAGTACTCGATCCATCCAACCAGATCGACTTGCAGATTGAGCAGCAGAAGGCGATTCCTGAAGATGATTGAGTGCACTGATCGATCGCAAGGTTGATCTCTGGGACCTTCTCCAGCCAGCTCAGCTTTGGACCGTAGCGAAGGGGGAACCAGTTGGCGGTTTGGTTATTTTTTGCAAAGGGCAGCCATCCTTTTCATCATCAACTTTCAGACTTATCTTATATACTTTTTCAGAGAGGCGATTAGCCATTGGAGAACATCGAAGCTTT